GGATGGGGCCGGTGGGGGGTCCCCCCCCCCTTCTCTCCCCCACTTACCAGCACGGAGCCTGGGTGCAGCTCCTTGCAGCTGGCCCGTGCCCTGCCTGTGCAAAGCAGGCAGTGTGCTTCAGCACCAGGGTGAGGGCCAGCCATAGAGACCCTCTGGCTGGCTACCAGATAATCTCCATGGGGGACCCAAGCCTCTAGTTGCCTGGTCCTAGACTGTGCCCTGCCCCACTTTTTTTGCCTGGGGTATTTTTATTGACCCCTGGATATCCAGGGTTCTAATTTTGCCCCCCTGTTGCAAATTTGCAGCGTGGGGAACATTTTTTTTGTTCCCACACGTGCCTTTTGCAGCGTCCCAAAGCCCTTTGGGACGCTGCAAGAGATACATGTGCGCTTGTCTGGACGCACCCTTAGAGAAAGGTAAGGGCTTGACTCTCTGTACATAAACTTGCAGATGGACAATAGGGCTATTATTGCTCATCTCCCTATACTGCTGTTGACAAGGACATTATTTCTGGAGACAAATCCAGTTTGAGAACTGAAACTAAGCATCACAGAGATGCTTAATGGGATCTCCTAGAGAGCACTGAGTCGTATTGTGTAGAGTGGTTCTCTTTACTAATCGATAGAGAAACCTCTGGGAACTTGGTAAGATTTGACCCCTAGTATAGTCTATGGCTGGTTGTGACCTATTTATAAAACTTTTCTAAAAAGGTTACATGAATATATTGTCTTAAATAGTATATACTTAGAAGTTAAAATCCCTATTCCTTGATGATATCTTTTAACTTTGACATAACTTAAATTAAAACTATATATAAATTTATTTTTTTAAAAGCGTCTTAAAAATAAAAAAAGATTAAATAAAAATCTGATTTAAATTGAAAAAAATCCAATTTTTAAAATTAAAAAAAAAAATCATTTTTATCTACCCTGCATTTTTTCATGCTGAATTTTTGGCATGCTGTGAATGAGAGAGAGACATCTTGCAATAGCCAGATAGGATACCAAATTTTAATTCCAGTATTTTGGATGTTTCATACAAATGGTGTAGATATTCTTGGTAGCTAACTGGCTGGCATGTGCACACTACTGCTCCCTGCAAGATGGAATCAGTACTGCTCAGCTGTGAATAAGAGCTTCCTTATTGGTCGCAAAGGGTGCTTTTGAAGCATGATAATCTGAATCCTATTTCTGTTGCTGCCACAAAGCTTTTACTTGCTGCAATTTGCAGCGTAGGAAGAAGTGTGAAATCCCTTAAATAACTAAGGGTTCATTTCAGTATCTGTAATTTACAGGGAATATTTTAACCTAATGTTGCACTTCAGAAAAATATATAAAACAGGGCATTCAAAGTTTAGGTTAACCTTAAAAATAAAGATGTGGTAAAGAAAAGGTAATGTATTATGAAAACTTTAATTTGACCTCCATTTTCGCACTGCTCTGTGCACAGTCATTGTGAAACGAGTTCATGTCTCTGGCTGATATTGCATCTGCTTTATATGTTAAACTGTGGCTGTGTTGACAGTTCCCCCAGAAGCTCTTTTTCAAATATGTAAATTGTTTAATATCATTGGCATTTTTCCTCCAATTCCATAATTCAAACCACATCCACTATAATTTTGCAAAACAGGGTTTATGGAGCCTACCCACAAGAGTGCATAAGTTTTTAAAATATCTGCAGCCACAGGCAGTTAAATAATTTAGTTTTTTCTCATTGGTTTGCTTCAGTGTTGGTCCCATTTACACCCTCTTAGAACCTTGGCTAGGAGTTCCTTCATCTTGTTCCCTGCCAAGGTTTCATTCAGATTTGCTCTGGGGCTTTGCAGCACTACGTGCGCCAGGTCTTTAAAAGCATGTAGATACAAAATTGGCAATCAATGAAACACCTGCTAAAAGGTCAGCAGAACTTATGAACTCTTACCTGTTCTGCTTAAGGTCACTGTGCATTTTGACAGGAGAAGACTATTCACTATTTGCTCCTAATTACCTTCCTACTTTTACAATAACCTTGGCCCTTGCTTGATATACCCAGTGGATTTTCTGCCGAGTCATGTTTTTCATATTCCATATATGCCGGGAAAGACTTTCTTTACTGTGTGATATCCATGTCCTCAGCTCATGTGGCTTGCTTTTTGCATGTGCCAACTAATGATTTTTCATTGTAGTAATCCTCTTCGCTGATGTCTTGTTCCTTTGTTCCATTGTCTAATGACTATTTTTCTTTTATCAGTTGCACAACTCTGATTCCCTCTCATCCTCCAAGCTCCCTACACTTATAGAAAACTGCTATAAAATTTTATCTTCTGTGGGATTTTTTTAAATGGCCCTTTTTACATGCACGAATGAAATGACCAAGTATATTTTAGAGAGCACTATTGGGAGAGACTGATAAATGTATGGCAGAGCAAACAATAGGAGACTCTACTTGTTTAGGAAAAAGATTAATTGTTTGGAACCTAAAGGCATGTCTACACGGCCTCCATGTCATGCTTGGGAGTGCTGCTGTGGAGCATGTACCACCCATTCATTCCCATTCTGGGTTGTTACCAAATTTGCCCATTACTTTGGGGTGTGCTCATTTATTAGGGATAGTTTCTAGGGTCTTGGTGATTCTGTCAATGTGCTGCTTGTGTTACTATACGGAGCTGTATTTCTCCCTTCTGCAAGCCCTCACCCCCAGTGGAGCTATCTTGCAGGACTCAATCTCAATGGGCTGGGTTCCTCCAGTCACCAAATCAGTCATACACACACAAATTAACG